TACTGTAAATCAAACACACACACACACACACACACACACACGCTCTGGACAAACAAGCCCAAGATTGGCTGTTTCCATATAGTTATTTCCTGGGTGTACACGTGTACATATAACTGTATATATTATTCTATGAATGTAAAATGAAGGAACTGTAGACTTTCTTTTCGTTATACAACCATGTGTTATTAATAAATACATTTCTTCGATTGATTATTCTTAATGCCTGCCACCGGGTCAGATTTGGTCAGATTCCCCTTGAAATCAATGAATGAGGCGGTAGAAACACTACCACCATTGTCCACAGGGGCCGCCAGAATCAACAGAAAATGAAAGTTCCTTGTACAAGCTTTGACTTCTATATTGTGATATCAATATATGTTGTAATTAGGGATGTCAGGATACCCAAAATATAGTAGTCGATACCAACACCAGTGGAATTGCGTGATTCTCGATACCACTTCGATACGACATTTTTTTTCTGCTGATGCCGAGTCCTGATCCAATACTTGGATGAATATCTTCCTTCGTATTTATTTTCCTTAATGATTTAACTTTAATGTTTCACTGCTTACAGTGGACTGGAGAGACAGACAGCGGAGAGAGTTGACGACGGAGCACTCTGCACATCAGCTTCAAGCGTAAAACTCCTGAACAGCTGCACTTTTAATGCATTTAACGGCAGACTAGAATATTTGTATATTTAAATATATAAATATATAATTTTGAGCCCCATCAGGTTTTCAGAGTTTTGGCATCGACTTGGTACTGAAGTATCAGTTCTTGTGACACCCCTAGTTGCAATATAAGTTTGAGATAATTCTTTCAGCAGCTTTTTATGGATAAAATAACCAAATGTGAAGCATTGTGAATGTAATGCCCGTAGCACATTAGCCAAAAACAACATCTCTGAAAGTTGACAACCAACATATACTGCAGAAAACAAGGTCACTGGGACAGAAAATGTCCTTCAGGAAAAAATACATTTTACACATACAGATATATACACCCTGATATATGTGTGTACACGCCACACACACACACACACACACACACACACACACACACACACACACACACACACACACACAAACAGCAGGCTCTCATTAGCTCTCAGCAGTCTGACTGGACTGAAGATTTTCTAACAAATGACTTCAGATGGAAACGACAGACTTGGTGTTAATTCAATCAGACAGGGCCCTCTGTTGAGTGGTGTGTGTGTGTGTGTGTGTGAGAGAGAGAGAGAGAGAGAGAGAGAGTGTGTGTCTGTATTAGCATATTAAAGCTGTTTGTGAATTATTGAAGCATCTGAAAGACACGGGTGACATTTTCACCACTGTTTTAGGTCGACATGACAGCGCTTTGATGACGAAACTGAGTGTGTGTGTATGTGTGTGTTGAGTTCAAGTACATTTCATATGGGTTGAGGGACTGTGTATGTTTTGAGGTTATGTGTACATACTGTGTATGTTTAACTTTGTGTGTACAGTCTGTGTCAGTTAATTGCAGGCTTTCTGTGTGTGTGTGTGTGTGTGTGTGTGTGTGTGTGTGTTTCCTGGACAGTGTGTTAACTGTGAATTCTTCTATCTGCTCTCCTTCCTCTTGAGGCCGTTCTTGATCTCCCGGCGGGGCGTTTTTGATGAGGGTTCGGTTGTGAGATAAAAGCGTTGGAGGAAACATGCTTTACTCCAGATATCCTAATTGAGAAAGATGTGCTGAACTCTCAATAATGTCTTCAGGGACGTGGATGCTGCACAAGTACAGAAACACAGCCACCACATCTTTCAATGAGAACAATTCTTGTCTGGGAGCCTCAGATAAAGAATTAAGCCAACATGTCTTCTTGTTTACGCTGTTGATTGGCAGCTCAGCTGACCACAGTCCCCCCTTTTTTTTATTGCTTTCGGGGTTTATTAAAATGTGCCCTTTTCACTCCTATTTGCTTGAGGCAGGATCAGGAGGAGTTACTGTTAAATGAGTATCTACTGTTCAGCTTGTGGCCAGATGAAAAAAGAATGCATAATAGTTGCATGTTTTTGCATTTAATTTCATACTGTGGCTGTTGGGGCTGTCACTTTCTCAAAAAGTAAAGTTTAAAATTCAAAGCAACGTGCACTGAGTTTCAATTAATCTGAATCATACACAGAAAAACCAAAACAATGAGCTAAAAGATGCTGAACTGCTAAGGTTGTAAGAGAGTCAGTCACTTCCGGGTAAACAACTGGTAGTTGATTTAAACTGTGGAGATATGACGCCTTTGATAATACAGACATCTCACCACCGGTCAGACTAATGTACTGATTGTGGATAAACTCAAGCTGCCATTTTCTATAATCTGTGGCTCAACTCTGAGCTAATGCTACTGAAAGTGTTGTTATTAATGATATATCATGTAGTATTTTATCATGACTTAAGAGAACATTCAACATGTTGCTGCCATTCAATTTTGAAAGATACTGGTTCTATTAACGATTCCCTTCTGACATGTATAAAGACATATATACAATTAGTTTGCTTGCTAGTATAGTCGACTTCAAGTTTCTACATCACACTTGTAGAAGTTGCTAATTGGAGCAGGATTGACTGATCATGCTGGTAGGCCACGTCCTTTTAGATCAGATTTTCAGTGAGCACAGAGAAACTTTCCACTTTCAGCAGATGGATGTGACTGTCACACTCTGCACATACATCATTCAAACAGCACACTGTAGGAACAAGAACAAAACCTCAACCGTGTTTTTGAGTGGAAGAGGACTGTAAATAAAATGAAGATGTGAGGTAATGAGGCGGATCCAACCACAGATGTTGCACGGTCAGCCTCCAGGTCACCAGGAGGCCTGATTAGTGGAGTTTTACTTCATTTGCTGACATACAAAAATTCCAAATCAAGTCATAGGATGAAGTTAGTTTGCTAGTTGGGTGCCAGATATCCAGTTTTGGTCAGCATCCTAATTACAGCAAGCTTGGTTTTCAGACTCACGCCAGACTCTTGATGAATGATGTAAACTGGCCCGTGTGCTGCTGACCGGAGCTGTTTCTCAAAAAAATCTGCACCAAGTCTGAACCTCCAAACTCCTAGCTAAATCTGTCAGACACATACGGGCCAGTCGGCTCATATTTGGTCATCCAGAGCCAGAACAGAGCCAAAGTGCGCCGACGGTGGTTCAGACTCAGCGTGACACCTGTATAGTGAACGCTGCGGTCATACAGGTGACATCGGTCACAGCGATTACCTGCTTACAGCGACCGCATGCAGGCCGCATGCTCCAGCAGGGCTGCAGCCCCACTTACAGTAGTGACAAATTTATTTTGGAACAGTGCTCAGCAGGTCACACTGTTAGCCAAGCTAGCATGAGCCAAGCTGGCAGCGTGTGTGACCTACATTCTCACATGCCGGGCGGTGTTTGAATCCAGGCCGCAGCGGAGCAGGAGGTGTTGTGTTGTTCGGGCAGGTCACCATGGAGCAGCACAGTGACTCAGCGACCCGGGGGGTGGGGGGATGTAAAGTATCTGACGAGGGTTCGAAGCCAGGTCATCTGCTTTTTTAAAGGTCATCTAATTTTACTCTGGATTAGTTTAGTTCATTTTCAATGTGAGTGAGGTAATAAAAATTAATTAAAGACACAGATAGAAGATTAGTATTAATGTTTTGCTGATTAATTATTGCCAGTAGGACCCAGTTATAATTTAATTTTGATATTTATTTGCCCCATTTTGTTTGTGTGACTTTTTCAACAAAATTATGACAAACAACAACAAAACAAAAAATGTTTTTGTTTGTAAAGGCACTAAAGGGACTTACAGACACAATTTGAGAGCAAGATAATACTCACATTTAGATCCGGATGTAATGCAGGTTGAGGGTTGAATACTAAATATGTTACAGCTGATTTGTGAATGATAACAAAATCATTAATAAACATTTTCCAACATTGAACAATTGTAAAAAAAGAAAAGTTTACATTTACATTTAAACTTAATGTAATGAAATGTGACCACATTCCAGAAAAGATGCATTAGGAGTAGTAAATTAAGTACAGAGCTGGAGTCAGGACATGGTTAGCCTAGCTTAGCATAAAGACCTGATACAGCTAGCCAACCAACGCTAATGCTCAGTAGCAGTGTATCTTTGTTTGTTTAAAGGTCCAGTATGTAACATTTTAGTGTATCTATTTGCAGAAATCAAATATTATAATATTCAAAGGCTGCCGTAGCTAACTGAAAGGGAAGGTGAAGTTGCAATCTGCAAGTACACAGTTAGATGCCGCCAAATAATGCACACTAGACCTTCAAATATATTATCAGTTGTCACTGCAGCCAATGGAGCTCCCCCTGCTGGCCGTTACATAGAATGCAGATTTAAGACACTTCCAAGTTGGCTTCACTTCAAAGACCCTGGAGTTCTTTCCATTATATAAACTACATATACTGTCAGTGGTCTATTGTGAGTTTATAATGTTTCTTATGATCAGCACTTCAAATTAAATGTTGACTGTGAGTTGTAGCCCTTCTCATTCATGTAACTGGAGTGGAGAAAACATCTGTCAGTATTAATGCAGTGTTGTACATTATAAGCCTGGTAAAGGTTGAAGTTGTGGGGGGGTTTGTGCTCTGTGGTTGCCTGCTGGAGTCCGTCTGTCTGTCTGTGTGCTTTTACAGCATCTCAATTTAACATCAGGCAGTAATAAGTATGTTATTGAGACGGTGTTGATCCCCGACAGACAGACAGGACGTGTTCTCCATGTTTTTACATATAAACCTGGAACTGGTCCCACATGATGCTGACTCATGTTTAAAACTGGAAATGTGACGTCACAGGTCTTCATCAGTTCTGCTTTTGCTGCTGAGGATGCTTTTGTTCTGTGCTGGATTCACACTGTAATACACACTGCTGTAAGGGTGGTCCGGTTGGGCTTTTATGTGTGTGTTTGACATATTTCTGTGACATTTTGCTAATCTTTGTTTGTGTGTCTGTCTCTTTGTCTTTGTGTGTGTGATTTTAGGACATCTGTGAGGACATCTCGGACCATGTGGAGCAGATTCACGCCCTTCTGGAGACAGAGTTCTCTCTGAAACTGCTGTCCTACTCCGTCAACATCATCGTCGACATCAGGTGAGTCTTCACAGGACAAGATTAGACATACTTTCAGGTATGAGTGCTGTTTATTTGCTTGTTTCTTGTGGGTTTATTGTTAATGTTTTCTGGTCTAATATGGATGAATCCTTGACTTCAGTAGAAGGAAGAAGGAAAAAACTAGGACTGTGAATGCAAGTCAATAAAGTTTTTAATAATGCTCGCTGATAAGTTAAGAAATAGGGGAACCAAATAATATGTCTGCTATAAAAGCAAGTAATGAAATGTATGAATACATAAACCTACCAATTATAAAGTTTTGAAACTCTTTATAAACCTGCACACTGTGAAATGGTTCCTTTATTGTAATTTGACATTGATATCTAACTGATTTATGACTATTAAATAACTTCATGGTGTCGTGTCTCGTGTGGTTCAGGACGGTGCAGCTGCTGTGGCACCAGCTCAGAGTCTCAGTCCTGGTCCTGAAGGAGCGTCTGCTGCAGGGCCTGCAGGACTCCAACGGAAACTTCACACGCCAGACCGACATATTGCAGGCCTTCAGCGAGGACCAGCACCAGGTATGACACACACACACACACACACACACACACACAGCATACAGCTATAGGACCATAGATATTAACATGATATATTCTCCCTCTCCAGACTCGTCTAGACGCTCTAACTGAGGTAGACGACTGCGGTAAGCTGACCATTCGCTGCAGCCAGGATTACTTCTCTTTAGACTGTGGTATCACTGCCTTTGAGTTGAGCGACTACAGCCCCAGTGACGAGCCCGAGGCCCGGGGGACTGAGCCAGACGGCGAGGACCCCTCCCAGGAGCTCCATCAAGCCCAAGACTCAAATCAAGACCCGGTGGCAGAGGAGAGCGAAAGATCAAACCTCTCAAACCACGAACACCATAATAGTTTACCTGAACTCACCACACCCGGCGACTCAACAAACCACAACCATTCTCCGCCAATATTACCCACAATGCAATGTGGCATGCCCAACCACAGTGAAAGTGCAAAGCGCCCTCTGCAGGGCGTGAGCCACAGCACTGAAGTGTCGCCCACACAGCCGTCGCTTCCCAAGAGAGCTGCTCTCTTCTCAGATAGAGGAACCAGGGAGGAGGACTCAAGGGGAGGTCTTGGGAAGGTTAGCCTGGTCTCTGGGCTCCAGTTCCAGGCCGAGCTGAGTCGGAGCACCCCTTCTCTCATGGATCCTCCAGACCGCTCCAAGTTCTGGTTGGAGCTGGACTCGGTTTATCCAGAAAATGTTTCACAGTCCTATGAGAGTCTACAGGTTTGTTCCTTTTTTTAAATACTTATTTTCTTTTTTAACGCAGCTGAGGCCTTTAATATATTTAAATGTTTTATCAGACTAAATCATAAACTGGGTGCAACTTGCTAGCTGCAACAAGCGTCCTTGTTTCCCACTTTGAAACCGCTGATATTTTGTACAAATGACATTATGATACTGAGTGTGGATCACCAGTGACAGTGATTTCACTTCAGTCAGTACACTCACCTCAAGGTTTTTACCATTTATTGCAGCAATATGCGTTTTAGTTTGCCAGTTTGGCTCCGCTCATGTGATGCTCTGGAACAAATCTGAGCAGGCTTGGCACAGACTGTCCCCGAGCTCACAACCCCCCGGGCAGAGCCTGTCTCAGCCTGTATAAAACCAGCGGTTAGAAGCTCCTCAGTTCAGCTGCAGTGCTTTAAGTTCTTTTAAATTTAGAAGTCAAGCCAAGATTTTGTCAGCCTCCATGTGTTATTCTTCCAACACTTGCCCAGTCTTAACGGAGGATGTTTTTAATGCATTGGTACCCTCTACTGAATTTGCCCAATAAACCAGAACAACTTCAGAAATGTGACCTTTAGCCTGACTTCTCTTCATCTAAACAGGTCATGAATGGGCGCAACCACCAGAAAAACCATGTGAGGTCCCGACAGGGAGGACGCTCACAGGGGAGTGTACACAGACTACCAACAGACCCAAGGAGCTCATCCAGGGCCAGACCGACCGGCAACGCCCCCCTACCTCTCCAAGACTCAGCATCTCAGGATGAAATATCAAAACAAATGAAGAGGACGCAGAAGGAGGCACATGCGCACAGTGAGGGGGACTCTGACTCCTCGTTGCCATCCCCCATGAGAGAGCAGTTCCTCTCTTCAGACCTGGAGGCATCCGGAGAGGAGTCAGACCCCCGACCTCCTCCTGGCAAGGCGGCGGTCTGGATCGTGAAGCGCCAGGGGCAGAAGGTGAGGGTTTATCCAGCTTGTTGAGAAGGAAAGTTTGGAGAGTTGAGTTTGTGAGTTTTTAAAAGGGTGTGAATGAATGTAAAACAGATACAGGTTGCCGATGGACAAGGATGCACAAACTCATTCTGAATTTGAACCAACATTTTAAAAAGTAAATCAGGTGCCTCATTTAGAAAAACTATGTGTAGGACCTATTACAACAGTTTGCATGTGCACAGCAGATAGAAGTGCATTCATGGAAAATGCTTTTTCCAGTATGGACAGATTACGGGACGTGCATGCAGCCAAATTTCCCTTTATAAATCACAATCAACATGAATATCTGATCAAAGAAAAAGTAATCTGACTGAGCGATTGATGCCACATTTCCATACTGCTCAAGTAACAAAATTCTTCATGGATAATTCCACATTACAGGCAAAATCAATGTGTTTACTGTGTAACAGAACTGATGCTCATTTTGACAGGGGGCTCAGGTTTCGTCAAAAGCCAGCCCAGACAGGGAGCACTGGTATGGGTCAGAAGAGTTCCTGGCCCTCCCCGCTCAGCTCCGTAAGACGGAGATGCTTGCTATGAAACTTGAAAGTCTGGCTCAGTCCATCCCGCTGGTTAGTCATCAAACTTTGTTATTCCTGCATCTGTTCATAAGCTTTATATTCATATCAAATGTCCAAAGCGAGACCACCAGCACTGATGATTTTGTTGAAACCTTAACTTTATCCTACAGAGGCCCGGTGGCTGTGACTCTACCCAGGAGGCTTTGCAGGATGTGGATGACTGGGATTTAACGGAGCTCAACCCAGACTGGGACATAGGGGAGAGCGGGGACAACGTGAGCAGCATGGGGGAGCGTGGGGACGACGTTCCTTCTCCTCCACCACCGCTGGTATATCACAGCATATTTTATCTTTTCATGTTTCTGCTTGATCCACAATTTACTGTATTCTCATGACGTCGCCTGTCCCCTCAGCTTCCTTACAGACGAAACCTGGTCAGCCGCTTTAGCTCCACCTCCTCCAGCGATATCGCCCCCTCATTGGACGAAAGCATCGAGTCTGGGCTGTTAAGTGACCTGCAGTCTGAAGACGAGGAGGGACGGAGGTCTGCGGACCGCCGCCTGCAGCTGACAGTGCCCCTGATGGACAGGCGGGGAGGTGCGTCTCTGGTGCAGCAGCTGCTGGAGGACATTCAGAGTCAGGACAGAGACCCTGATGTCTGGAAGAAGATAGAGGTATGGATGGTCTTCCTTTCTGTCTGTCTGTGTCCTTGCTTTGATATGTCTCTTCCTCTACGTTGTGAATTTTTGGCGTATTTCTGTCCCCAAGGTAACCAATCATGTATTAGATGAGGGGACTTTTCACTTGGGTACCCAAGAAAATAGAGGACAATCTTGTTATTGCTCTGTCTATCCTGAGCTTTAGAATATTTCACACATAAATTATCGTCAACAGAGACAGAAAACAAACAAATGAAAAGAAAAAAACCATGCGAGAGAGATTTCACATTTTACTGTCATTTATGGTCACGCAAGCTTCTCTGACTCTGCTTGTTTGGCTGAGACCGGGGTTTAGTTCCTACCATTGACAGTATATATAATGGACAGAGTTTCCAGGTCTATGAAGTGAAGTCAACGAGGAAGTCTCTTAAACCGGCAGTCTATGTAACTGCCAGAAGGGGGCTGCTCCATTGGCTGCAAAAACACACTGATACCTCAGTTACTGCTGTCACGCTACTTCCACCTACAGCAAGTGCACTGAACCTCCAATATGGCTGCCGGAGGGGGTATTACATCACTTAAAACCTCTGTAACCGGATATGTGTTTTAGCTGTAGCATTAGCATGTATCTGCATCAATCCCTGTACTTTTTATAACGACAAAGTACGAAACCAAAACCACCACAACACCAGCGCTTTTCTCCCTTCACTGCAGCCTCCTTGATGGATTGGAGGGCTGGTATCGGATCGTCCCGTGGCCCCGTTAATTCATCACCTCACTTCTAAAGGTCACGTTTGATTGGCAGGCAGATTATTGATGAGTCTGCCCGGTGAACTAATCAGTCATATCTGTCATATCGAATATGGCGAAATGTCAATAGCTCTGGGGATTCGTTCTCCTCACGGCTGCTCGTTTAATTAGTGCTATAAAGAAGCTCCGCCGCCACCTCTGATATTTTTTATTGTTTTATTTTATTCACGTTTATTTCGCTCTCTCTCCTTTATTGCCTTAATATTCTAATTCCGAACACCTTTTACTCCACCAGCAACATTTTACTTTGCTGCCGTAACATCCCGGTTTCCCCTCGGGGATCAATGAAGTTCAGCATATCTGTCTTATCTGGTGTTAGCGGGGTCAGGAGCCCACAGACAGAATCAGACCAGCTGTAATAAGATTATCAGAGAGGACGGACCGGATACGCCAGGATCAATCTGCAAGGGGACGTCCTTGGATCTGCGGATCAGTGACCCAGAAGGTCGTGAGTTTGATCAAACCACGTCCTCCGTATTCCCAGATTCAAATCAGATCGGCCACATTAATATTCAGAATTAATGATGATTTGACTGATGAAATGTCAAAGCTGTCCCCTGCTCGTTCTCTCTCTCCGTCCTCTCGTGTTGTGGAAATATTTTGATCCCTATTTAAAGCGGCCTGACAAACAGCGGGCCATGTGGGGAATATCGTTTTGATCTTGGGGATCTGCACTAGAATTAGAAAGAAAGGGCTGTGGGTTTGTGTTTCTGATGAAGAACCAGGGGAAAGAGTTAACAAATTAAAAGAAAGTCTTGATATTATGGTTCAGCCTGTCACATTCAAATTTAAAGAACGTCATAAAAGTGATGAAAGCGACAAAATGTAGCTGTGGATCATGAGCATCTTAACTTCCCACCTTACTGTTGTATTCATGTCTAACACATTGAGCATTATTCATAATTATCCTTTTATGTGTTTGAACCATCTCTCTGCTTCACCTTCTTATTAACGATTATTATTAATGTAACCCTAACCCTTAAAGCTGAAACACACTTATTCCTATTTGAGAATGAGAATTTTTTATTACTTTTCTTCTGATATTTCAATAAAATCATGTTGACAGTCATTTGTCATTTATAATCATTATATCTGGCAGTAAAACCAGTGTGAGGCATCACCAGCAGCAGAAACAGTAACAATTTGGTTTCCCTTGTAAAGGAAGCCACTCTGATTAGTCGGATTCCTGTACAAATCTTGCAGCCGCCCTCACGGCATGCCCTGAACGTCTCAGACACAATAAGTATCTATAATCCGTGGCACGTTCAGGGCCCTGTGCAGCTTCCCCTGAATCATTCAGACCCCCTCTGGCACTCCGTTCTGTGTTCAAATGTAAAAAACTGTGTTCATGTGAGCCCCAGTAGTCACAGTGTAAAGTATGCAATTTGGAGTTGATATAAATGGAAGCAAATCCATTTATACTGAACATCTGAGCTGGTTAAATTTGTTAATAATTGCAATTTTGTGAAATGTTTAACCCCAGAGAATTACAATATACACACATTCATAAATTAGCATTAACATTACCCCTAAAAAATCCTGAAATATAAAGCAAAATGAATGAAAACTACCAGCTACCAACTACTCTGCTGTGTCACACATGTCACCTTGTGCTAACCACACACACACACACACACACACATACTCACACACACTCCTCGTTCCTCTCTGCTCCTGGGTAATTAGCTGATTAGCTGCTTAATTAGCAGCATGTAATCATGGCGATGGATGAGCTGCCTAATTGAGGAAGTGAAGAGAGGAGAAGGAGAGTCTCAGTGTGGAGGATGACATTCTGTCTCTCCGCAGAGAGTCTCCACTGAATACAACAGAGTAGAATAAAATAGAAAGCAGAAATCATCCGTCCGGGGAGGAGAAACTGTGGAAAGATCACTGTCGGAGCAGAAATGAATCAAATCCAGGAGCAGGACAGAATACAATCCGTCCAGGAAGTCTCCTCAGGGAAGAGTCGGAGGTGTTTGTTGTCGGAGGCGAGTAGATGTGATTAGAGTGGAGAAGAACTGAGTAGAATTGAATAGAATCTCATATCTGAACTTTATGGGAGAGAAAATCTGTTCCGCTCGTTGTCAGTAGGATAAATCAGGACAGCTGCAGACATTTATTTTCATCTCCAACATCCAGGTTCATTTTCACACCAATGTTTTCTACTGGGAGAAAAACTCAAACAGGACTCGATTTGCACTGTAAAAAAGATGAAGTTATTTTTACGGTAAAAAACTGGCAGCTGTGGTTTGTCAGAACTTTACCGTAATACATGGTAGAACTTTTTCTATTTATATTACTATTACATTAAAAGCATATTATTGTCCAGTTTAAATCCATATTTTACCATATAAATACAAGTTTTTACCATCAACAGAAACTGTTTACCTATATTAAAATACCATATGATGCTATAACGGTGATTTTCTGTGTAATTTACAATCTGTAATATGAAATAAAAGGACTTTATTCCGTAAAAATTCCTTTAAAATGTCGTATAAAAAAAGGCTTTGCCATGAGATATCACAGTGTTTTACTGTTATTGTTTGACAGGTTTACACCTTAAAATCTACAGGCATGTTTTACAGTGTAGACCTTGTTCTGAACAGGTTTAGTTGGAACTACTGCTGAAAATGTTTCAGATTTAATTATATGGACGTCCTTTTCTTGTGCCACAGACAAAAAACTGGCGACTTACAGAGGAAAAAAACTCTTAAATCAAGTTTATTTCTCCTTGTAAACTGCCACAGCTGTTTGGTTAGAGCGAAATAACTTTGTGTCCGACTCTTATTTGTTTTTAAACATAATCAGCAACATTATTAAAGTATTTCTAGTTTTAACCTTCCACCCCATTAGACGTTCACTTGTTTCTGTCTCTCAGTTCTTCTCGCTGCCTTTGCTGTTGGACACGAATATTTTATCCGAGACTTTTTCTTCCCCTTTTGACCGTCTAGACGCTGCTCTCTCGACCTTGACCTCCGCATCGTTTGTAACGTTGGAACCAACTCTGACATAATTTGCGTCCACGTCACGTAAATCTGCGGCTTGTTTCATGAAAGTTTATGAGGCAGACGCAGGAAAATATACATACGCAGAAGTTCCTAATTGGCGCTGTATGGCATACGGCTCCCGAAGTGCACTGAAACAAAACTAAAGAAAGGCAGACAGAGAAACAGTCCGTCGGTTAGATAAGTGTCCTACACGTCATGTGATCACATTGTATGTGCTGTCTGGGCCGGCGTCGGCGTCCTCAGTGTGAGGTGTCTGTGTGTTTGGCGGCTCTGCGGCACGTCGGCCTATCTGCGAGCAGTGGGAGACAGACAGACAACAGACTCAGATCAACACTCGTCTGATTGGCCCGGTGGGGGGGCAGGGACGCCCACCGACAGCAGAGGAGATAGGAAAATAAGAGAGAGATGGAGGAGGAGGAGGAAGAGGGGTGTTATTCTTTTCTTTTGTGTTTCTATAGATAAACAAGTTAAGGAGACGGTAAAGCTGACAGAGTACGTTTGTTTGCAGACTTATACACAGTCCCAAAGTCCGATTCTAGCAAAAAATCTTCACCACCTACACTACACACATTTTTAAAAAACTTTCCTAAATAGGTAAATATTTCTCCATGATTATACTGATAACTGAGGTCTACTGAGAAGGGTTTAGAAGGCAAATAAAGATATTTTTTTATTAAAACTTGTAACTGTAAAACATTGCGATAACTGCAATAAGAGCATTTCATCCACGGAGCAAAAAGGTCACCAAAATCCTGAACAGGATCCAGACTGTTGAAATTCTTTCAGCTCTTTAAAGGTTTTATGACATTGACCTGTCACTGGATGTTCACACTATAGAGCACAGCATCTCAGACCAAAATAATGGGACAAAAAATAAAACTCACCAAAACCGACTTCGTTAATGTTTCCAACAATCACCAACGCTGGTTTGGACAAAATAAAATTACTGAATTAGATTTGAAAACATTTGTGGCTGCAGCGTATGCTAACGTTAATCCTTGGGCACCAATGTGCCTGTAAAAAGAAAGTCCACTAAAAGTCAGATTGTCATTGTCAGTGTCTGACAGCATTATGGAAAGGATCCCTACAGAGAGAGACCTTTAGTTTAACCACAAACAGCCGTAATATCACTATCACTCTCCACCAGACTCCAGAGACACAAACACTCATTTTACCTTCAGATCATCGTAACTT